TTTTTGTTTAGTCCCAGTTTTCTATCATGCACACCAAAAAATCATAAAATGTCAACAACCTGAACAATCCTAACCTTGTGGATTTGTGGAGTTGTAATAAACAAACAATCCAGTGAGGAAAAATTGTGATGTTGCACATGTTAAAAGCATTATTCATGAACTCTTAGGATTATTGAGGATTTAAATCTCAAACAGCACAATTTCCTTGTATGTCGACAGGGCCTTTGTTCCCCTCAGTGGCTCTGAGTAGACTAATATTGATATCTTGTGGGTTTTCATTAGAATAATATATGGGACACAGGGGCTAAACAATGAGCTGTAATGTCTAAGCTGTTAATTACTGAAATAAGATAAAATGTTAACACTTAACCTTGGTGTATGCCAAACATTAGGAGGGTGGAAACTGATTACTCGTCTATTTTCATGAGAATAAATGACAGTGCATGATGTTCTGTTATGAACTACGTTGTTTTTTCTGCAGGACACCACCAGACAGTAAAATTTAACAAAACTTTTATTTAAGACCGAACTGCGGTGAACAGTGTCAGCGTCTAAGGTGGGACCTCTGGTCTTATAGTTCAGTCTGAGCCCAGAGGAGAAGATTGGTTCCAACCGGTAGGCTGCCAACGAGACCTGGCGGACGCCACCCATAGAGTCCCAGGCATCGGTGTCTCAGAGGTAGAGAACAAGCAGGAGATCAGAACCGAGCAGTCGAAGAAAGTCAGGATAATCGAGAGGGTGAAACCAAAACCGGTGTCGAAGATGTGCTCAGTACACAGATCTAGGAGATCAGATGTACAAAGAGGACCAGAACAGAGATGGGGGACATTTGCAGGTCCTTTTAAAAGACAGGCAGCAATCAGAAGGGGAACAGGCAGGCTCAGAAGTCAAGAACCAGAACGGGTCAGGATCAGACAATCAGAAACATACAGGTACGGTAGAGGACTCTCACCAAAGGCTTGAATAATCTGGCACTGATGACTGGTTGAAGGCTGTTTAAATAGAGGCTGAAGCAGGTGGATAAGATGAGCAGTAATGAGAACTGTGCGACGATAGGCAGATGAATGAGATTAGTGATTAGGCCAATCATCAGTGCCAAAGACCATGACACAGCCGCAGGTCACCAACCTGGAACAGTTGTTAAACTTTTTTAAAAGACAAAACAAAAAAATTTACCTTTTAAGAGAACTTATTATGACAACAAACATAATTAGAAATATAAAAAATAATATAAAAAATATTTATTTGAATGGTTTTCCTAATGAAACACAGTATTACTGTACCTTATAAACCATTTAATTTCTCATCAAAATAAACACTTAATATCAAACTTAATCATAATGCTGTCACAATTATGTTTTTTTTTTAAATGATAAAAAAAATAGGAGCGCTAGTCATGTAGGACACTGGTGTTTGTCCTGCAGCTTAGGACCCTAGTGTGTTTGGACCCTATCTCTGTCTCTTTCACTCAGTTGTGTCCTTGGGCATGACACTACCTACTGATGGTGGTCAGAGGGTCCTGTGGCTCCTGTGTAGCAACACCTGCCCTGTGGCTACAATTAAGCTTGCCACAATCAGTGTGTGAATATGTGAATGAATGAAAGCAGTAAAAGTGTTTTAAGGTTCTTTAAGTTGAAAAGTCGTTATATCAAAACAAGGCTATTTTCAAACTATTCTTCCAGTTGTTAACCCATCATCTACATGAACATGCCTTTGTTTGCTGATTATAATGTGCATGTTAAACTTATAATTCAGAGGAAGCTTTGACTATTAGAAGTGACATTTTGAGAGCACACTGAATATTTAAAGATGCTGTTGAAAAGTCTGCCGCAGGAGTGCTTTGTGTCTTATAGATCATGTGCAAAAGCAGCTCTGCAGGGCAGCAGCAGGTGGTCCTCTTTAGCCATAGGTGTGTCAGCACTTCCACAAAGTGGGAGGAATATGTCTAATACTGGCTTTAAAAAAGTCATCAATTGAGTGTCATCAGTGTGGCTTCGGAGTGAGAAATGTTGAGTTTGTGCAGAACCACGGAGCCAGCACATAGACTTCCAACACTTCAAACTTGGCTTTATGTCTTCCTCCTTAGCAGTTGCCTAAAGTGTATAATTAGCATCTGCTATTTTAGAAAGAGGCGCCCCTGTCTCAACACCATGCTATCTTACACTTCACTCTGTTTACCAAGGAAATCATTTTTGGAACCAGCATGTGAAGTTATTTGGTAGCTCTGTGTGAAGATTTTTATAACATTCTGCTGCACATTCATTAGCGTGTTATCCATAATCTACAGACATAAATTATCTCATCATCTGCATGATTCCATTTTATTACAAGGTTTTTCAAAATACGTACAATTTAAAGATAAATAAGCTTCAACTGATTGGGAGATAATAAGACATTATGCAGTATATATTTATGTTGAGATGACTTTCTCCTTAACAATTACTACTAGTGTTGTGCTGCAATAGGTTCAGTCATAATGCATAATTGTCAGGTTAAGTGGAAGTTAGTTGAGGACCAAAATGCACAGATGAGTAGGCAGAGAGGATTTCTTCGAGATTTGATTTAGATGGAGATGGTAACAGAAGCACAAATCCAGAAATAACAAACAGGTAACCAAAACTAGGAGACACCAGGGAGAAAGATACATGAGGAGTAAAGTAAAGAAGAGAATCCAGCAGAAAGAACTGCACAGGAGATGTATATATGGGAGACAGAACACTGAATGGGCTAATCAGCTGATAGGGAGCAGGTGTGGCTAGAAGCAACTAGAAGGGAGCTAGGGGAAAGGAGACTGGCACAATGGGACAACAGAGAGTAACTCAAAATATAAAACACTGCTTAAATAAAGCCAGAAAACAAGTACAATGACAGAAAAAAGGAAAAGAAACCAATAACCAATAAAACACAGAATGACATAAATCAAAGTAAACAGAACCAAAAAGTCCACAAAGCGCAAAATAATGACAATGACATAGCAACATAAACACCTAAAGTATGATGTATCAACCTGCAAAACAATAAATAATCCATTATATTTGCCAAATGCCTTAAAAGGGATGTTGGCTTTGTGAAATACGAAATACTTTGTGAATTACTGCCAATCTCTTATAATTTGTACCTCACTGTTAATATCATAAGTTATGGTCAAGCTACTACAAAATTACTATTATCCAAAAGCCAGTGTTTGAAAAATATATAATACACAAAAACAATGTTATCAATAGGATATCAAAATAACTGTAACTCTGTTAGGTTAGTTGTGAAGTTATACCCATCTCTGTATATAAATTCAGAGCTACTAAATAGAACCCACTGTAGAAAAGTTACAAAAGTTACAATTTAATAAATAAAGTTAATAGTTTACTTACAGCACTGATCTTTCTCCAAGAAAACAGACTGAAGTTTCACAATAATCATCAACACAGACTTGTTAGGCCTCATGTCTCAAATGTAGCAACATTAAACTTCTCTCTCATAATGCTAATTTTGTTCTTCTCTCTTTGTTGCTGTCTGGCGCTTGAAGTTACTGTAATTAGGATAATTAAACTAGAGCTCTTAATGATGCTAACATCTGGCTGAGGGGCAAACACCTGCAGTTTGGGTTTCCAACCAAGGAGAGATTTAAAAAAGAAAGTCATGCACTCTGACTGTATGTTTGATCTTAGTATGCGTGTTCATCTTGCAGGAGCATGCTCGCTGACGATTAGCTCATCTTGTGACTCTTAACATTACAGAATGTGCTTTGCCTTGGATGTGCTTGTTAAGCACATAATTTACCAGCGTTCAATTCTATCCTACTTTATATTAGTGTCTTGTCCCCTGGGCAATTCTTGATTTAGACAACTTTTGAAACAATTATCTTTTTCATAAGATGTAACTGAATATTTTTTAGGGTTTAACGCCCGATCTGCCACGAAATGCATTGAAGCCTAAGCAGCAATAATAATTAATAATTGAACTTTACTGATCTCACATTGGAGAAATTTACCTCTGCATTTAATCCATCCCCTTGGGGAGCAGTGGGCTGCCATTGTGCGGCACCTGGGAAGCAAGGGGGATGAGAAGGAAGCAAAACACCATAGTTGTCCAAAATCTTTTCATAAGTCCACATTCGATCACCATTGAAACCAGATGTTGTAAAGGCAATAGAGTAATGGTAGTCTCTCTGCTATTTTAATTACGGCATCAATTTTTAAAATAGACATTCTTTAATTATAGAGATCACAATATCTTTCACAGACCACATGTTCTTTGTCACCCTTGTTTGGTGTACACATGCTAGTTGCATGCAAACTATCAACAGAGATGTTGCCGTAGTTTTATGTGCAGTTAAGCTTCAAGACGGTCGCTGATGCTTCCGCTGCTTAGTGCTAATCTCTGACCACACATGCATCCGCAATTCATCCATTCATAAACAAAGACTGCCCTTTACATCATCCACCAGCCTTCATATTATTGAAGACTATCCTAAACTGAGTTTAAAAACAGACAAACAAATAATAAAATCTGCGTTCCGAGTTCAAGAGAGCTAACCAACTATTCTGTACTATGGGTTCAGATTCGGATCCATCTGCATGACTGTCTGCCCTGTTTTCTGTCTGCTCACTGATAGCTGGGAAGAAACACTAGCCCTCCATGCATTGGCAAGTTGGGAAAAAACATGGAGGGAGGTTTAATTGTTTTGCTCTCTGATACAAACACAATATAAGGTATTCTGAATGTAACTCTTACCCTTATTGTTTTTTTATATACTGTAGTTAATATCACATGCATACTGTATGTTTTATTCCAGGTTCTTCTTGGTCCTGAAAGCTGCTCAGGGTTTGTTATAACCCACAAAATATAAGTACATAGATATGAAAAAACAGAGAAGTTCTCAACCTCTCCTCTGTCTATTCCATGTCTCCTGTTCCTCCCTCCCTCTCTTTCTGAGTCAGTGATGGGAGGAGCTCCACGGTTAGTGGATAGATGCAAGCTGTAGTACCACACAGTGTGAGAGACAGAGGGAAGGACCCACAGACGCAGGGCTGTCCTCTAACAGAGCTTCAGATCTGATCTACTCATGTGGATTTTTCTATGAAACTTTGCCAGCTGAGGACTGAGTCTATCTTTTGTTTTGTGCTGCCACCTACAGAAGGAAAACTTGTTTGAGATTTCAAGGAGAGTTTTGGTTTCATGCCTGGCTGACATAGAGCGTAAGTAATATTGTTACAGACGCTGCCCTTCTGTTCATTAACTGTTCAGTGTCTTGGCTGCATAAATCATTGATGTTGCAGTTCTGGTTACCTGTGATGCCACTGCCAGGATAGCCCTGCTGGAGAGCTATAAAATCTTTATAAGCAACACTGACGTGAAGACATTCCTGGTTTCTCTTTTTAAAAAGAAAAGTAAGTGTGAGGTGAGAGAAGATGGCATTCAGCCATCTACCGTAAGTCTTTACTGTAAGGTGATAGAGGGGGTGATTACATACTCTCTGAAGGTAAGCATCTATAGGTGGGTGAGCTCTTATGTCGCTTTGGAGAAGATACCCTTGCATTACTTAATGTAGGTCTTTACTTCATTTTCTCTAGAATCACAGCTATTTAAAAAGGGTGTGTTATATATTTAAGGCTCAGTGCCTTGTGTGTAAGTGCCACAACAACTTATCATAACTGTATCTGTGTCTCTGAAGGGGCTTTTCTTCTGATACTAGTTACTGGATGTGGCAGCAAATGCACTAACATCCTCTCCCAGTAGGGAAACTTTGCATGAACTCTGAATGAGCGTGGGAAATCTGATGAACCTAAGCAAGACAGGGAATACTCAGCAGCTTCTGGTTTTTGAGGTTTGAAAGCCAACAGTGAGAGACTGCTATATTTCATGTTGTGTTATGAAACTAGACAGGGCTTTATAAAATGATGCAGGAACAACAGAGAAGCCTCAGGTGGTGAAATTCAAATATGTCACCCACACACTGCTGGCAGGGCAATCAACGCTGGTGCTGTAACTTGCCAGAAGTGTGGGTGACCGCTAATGGATAGGAAGCATAAATGGAAACATCTGTCAAATCATTACGGTCAACAATCATGATTTTTCTATGTTCCTTTTGCTTACTTTTGAAAGTGCATCACTTTGAAAGTTCTTTCTAAAATCATGTGTGACAGTAAAGATTGACTCTCAGGAACCAAAAAAAGTTTAACATCTTTATTTCATTATATAGAACAGTAAAAATAAACATAAACAAGCACTCAATAGTGCATGATTGTGTAGTTGAAGAGATGCAGTACATGGTTTTCCAACGAAAAATGTTGTATGCCTATAAATGTAGCTTTCTGAGTCAAAACTTCGTAAACCCAACTTAATTGCTATTAAAGCTGGAATGTTTAGGGGTCTCTCTTTTATAGGCCTGGCTAATTGACTGATTGGTTATTTTTGCAGAATACTTTAAGATTTATCAATTCAATTCAATTCAGTTTATTTATATAGCGCCAAATTCACAACACATGTCATCTCAAGGCACTTTACAGTTCAACCAGATCATACAGTCAAATTGATACAAAGTTTTCTATCTAAGGAAAACCAGTTGATTGCATTGACTCATTGACTCAAATACAATCCCCCACACTAAGCATGCTTGTAGCGACAGTGGAGAGGAAAAACTCCCTTTTAACAGGAAGAAACCTCCAGCAGAACCAGGCTCAGTGTGAGCGGCCATCTGCCGAGGCCGACTGGGGTTCAAGGAGACAGAAGCAGAGATACAAAAAGCAGCTGTAAAAGGCGGCCCCGTCCAGGAAACACGCAGCCAGGCAGACGAGCTCCAAGGCAGCTCCCATGCCAGAGGACGAAGAGAGCACATCCACTCAGTCACGGTCAGAGAAACAGGACCACACTGGAAAACAGGCCGATCTCCAACATCTATAAACAAGGGTGTTGATAGAAGCAGCACAGCTGATGTTTCTTTCCAGGATGACGTCACAGCCAAACAGGAACAGACGAGGCAAAGCTACTCTGAGGAAAAGCAGAGAGAGCAGAAGGTTAGAGATTGAACTAACAGATTCTGCAGAATAGGAGAACAGAGAGAGAATGAAGCAGAATGATGAAATGGGGGTCCCTATGTCCTCCAAAAGTCTAAGCCTATAGCAGCATAACTATAGAGATAGCTCAGGATAACCTGAGCCACCCTAACTATAAGCTTTATCAAAAAGGAAAGTTTTAAGCCTAGTCTTAAAAGTAGACAGGGTGTCTGCCTCACGGACTAAAACTGGTAGTTGGTTCCACAGGAGAGGAGCCTGATAACTAAAAGATCTGCCTCCCATTCTACTTTTAGAAATTCTAGGAACCATTAGTAAACCTGCAGATTGAGAGCGAAGTGCTCTGTTAGGAACATAAGGAACAATCAGATCTCTGATATAAGATGGAGCTTGGCCATTTAAGGCTTTATATGTGAGAAGGAGGATTTTAAATTCTATTCTTGATTTAACAGGAAGCCAATGAAGAGAAGCCAGGATAGGCGAGATATGATCTCTCTTTTTAATTTTCATTAGAACTCTGGCTGCAGCATTTTGGATCAGCTGAAGGCTTTTAACTACAGTTTGTGGACTTCCTGATAGTAAAGAATTACAATAGTCCAGCCTTGAAGTAACAAATGCATGGACTAGTTTCTCAGCATCACCCCTGGACAGGATATTTCTAATTTTTGTAATGTTCCTCAGATGAAAGAAGGAAATTCTAGAAACCTCTTTGATGTGGGATTTAAATGACAGGTCCTGATCAAAAATAACACCAAGATTTTTTACTTTATTATCTGAAATCAGTTTAATCCCATCCAAATGAAGTGACTGGCTAATCAGTTTCTTTTTCAGAGACTCTGGTCCAAAGACTATAACTTCTGTTTTGTCTGCATTCAGGAGCAGAAAGTTAAGAGTCATCCAGGTTTTTATGTCTTCAAGACATGCCTGTAATCTATGTAATGGGTTAGCTTCATCTGGATTTATAGACAGATATAGCTGGGTATCATCAGCGTAACAGTGGAAATTAATCCCATGCTGTCTAATAATTCTACCAATTGGGAGCATGTATAAAGTAAAGAGAATTGGTCCTAGCACTGATCCCTGTGGTACTCCACAGGTAACCTTTGAGCGTGTTGAAGATCTATCATTAACATGAACAAACTGAATTCGATCAGATAGATAAGATTTAAACCAGTCTAGTGCTGTTCCTTTAATTCCAACAAAATATTCAAGTCTTTCTAAAAGAATATTATGGTCAACTGTATCAAATGCAGCACTAAGATCCAACAGGACGAGCACAGATACAAATCCATTATCTGAGGCCATGAGAATATCATTAGTGACTTTCACCAGAGCTGTTTCAGTGCTATGATGAGCTCTAAAGCCAGACTGAAACTCTTCAAAAAGTTCATTATGGTGGAAGTGATCGCAAACTTGTTTGGCAACTACTTTCTCAAGAATTTTGGATAAGAAAGGAAGATTGGATATAGGTCTATAATTGACCAAGTCATCTGGGTCAAGAGACGGTTTCTTAAGCAGAGGTTTAATTACAGCAACCTTAAAAGCTTTAGGTACATATCCCTGTAACAGAGATAGATTAATCACATCTAAAATGGAGGAGGAGATCAAAGGGAATACCTCCTTAAATAACCTGGTTGGAACTGGATCTAACATACAAGTTGAAGGCTTAGATGAAGACAATAATTTTGCTAATTCAGAGAGTTCAACTGGATCAAAGCAGTCTAAACCCGGTTCAGATTCCATGACTACCTCAGGTACAATCGCGGATAGAGGAGTGCTTATGATCTTATTTTTAATAAGATCAATCTTATTTATAAAGAATCCCATAAAATCATTGCTGCTAAGAGCAGGTGGAATGGACGGTTCAACAGAGCTATGGCTCTGGGTGAGTTTGGCAACTGTATTAAAAAGAAATCTAGGATTATTCTTATTCTCCTCTATTAATGAGGAGAAGTATGCTGCTCTTGCTTTACAAAGAGTCCTCTTATACAGCAGTAAACCATTTTTCCAGACTAGGAAGGACTCTCGCAGGCCTGTGGAGCGATATTTTCTCTCCAGTTTCCTAGCATTTTGCTTCAAAGTACGCAGCTCTGCATTAAACCAAGGAGCAAGCTTTCTATTTTTAAGGGTTTTCATTTTCAAAGGAGCTGCGTTGTCTAAGGCAATACGCAGAGAACTAGCAACCCCCTCAACAAAATCATCAACCTGTGAAGGGGAATAAGCTAAGCTTTTGCACTCTGCAGCACTGCTCAGTGACACAGAGGAGAGAGAAAGTGAAGCAGATTCTTTAAAATTTATAACTGCACTATCTGATAAAGATCTACTAAAATTGAACCTTCTTTTGGGGGAGGAGAACTCTGTTAAAGTAATCCTGAAGGTTATTGTTATTATTATCAGATGGCAGAGATTGTCTAGGAATAACAGTTTTACATTTTCAATTACATTTTTGTCTAGTCTTTGAGTAAGAGTAAGTAAGAGTTAGTTTTCTGTAACCCATGGTTAAAGAAAAACTCTCTAAAATGTTTTCTCTTCATAGCTGTCTTCCCTCTCTCTTACACTGAATTTAAAGAAATAGTCAAATAAAAGGGTCTGAATAACAGACGGCACATTTCCGATTATTATTTGCAAAACACCTAAAACTTATTTCTTGTTTCACTTTATTTTACAGTGATCTGTATTAAAATAGTCTGATCCATAAGACAAAATACTAATAAAACACCTTAAATTTAGTGGTTCAAATTGAAGACAGATAAGTAAGGAAACTAAGAGTAAGTAGAAATATTATCATGGTACATTTAGAAACCCTCAGCTGGGATACAACATGTACGGTTTTGCAATATTTTTTAGATGATGGCTGCAGTGTGTCTTTTTATGTGTGCATAAATTGCATAGATGTGATACATGTGATCTCAGATTCTAGACAAGTAAAGTTATATTTCTCTTTAAAAATGTTTAAAAACAGTTTTCTCATCTCAAACATGATTCACATTAAATCTTAATGCTGATGAAGATTCTCAGTCATCCAGGTCATAGTCATTCCGTAAAAGTTCAAAAAAATCCACTGGACTTGGTTTCCAAGAATTGAAGACATTTCGCCACCTCTCCAGGACTTTTACGGAATTAAATCTTAATGGTCAGGAAGCAAATTGGTTTAACAATACGTAAGACAATTTAAGCATGTAGTT